GAAAATGCAGCACATTTTCAGCCAGGAATTGATTAATTAACTAATTAATTGTTAATAATAACAATTAATAAAGGCATAAATTGATAAGAGAGTATTCCGTGGTTGGTTACGCCCCACTGCAATCATTCTCACTTGTTTTATTTTGCATTTTTTGCATCTCTCCTCTTGCTGTTTGGTTCAGAAACCTAATAAATTGTAATGCTTCTTTTTATGGGTCACGTTTTCCAACTTAATAATCATTTGCACTTCCATATGACAATAAAAAGACATTGCTTTCGTTATTGTTGTTGCTGCTGCTGCTACTGTATTGCCGTGCAACATTGAACGTATGGGCGTTGCTGGATTTTTTCTAGCAATATTTACGGGCCATACGATGAGTATTTTCATAATTAATTTCTTTCAGCTGCCTTCAGCAAAAGAAATATGTGCGGCGCCTACTGTGAATTATTGCGAATGTTGCTGCTGCTGCTGCTGTTGCAACTGCAACTGTAATTGCAATTGTTGTTGTTGCTTGGAAAACCCAATCCCGTTATATATATGAGCATATGCATGCATATGTATGTTGTGCTGTGCTGTGCTGTGCTTTTCACGCTTGTGACAGTTTTTGTTGTTGCATTTGCCGCCTCTTTTCACATTTTTGATCGACAATTTCACTTTTCGTTGCCAGACACAGACTCGAGGAAGACGCCAGACACACTGAGAAAAATAAATAAGAATCTTGAATCAATCCGTAAATCCGTTATCGGTTAGAACCGCATTCTCTATGACAAACAGAACTTAAATCTCAAGTACAAAATAACTCTTAGTCTGAGAACAACAAAGTCTTACAATAAAATCATTTGAAACTTATTAAAGTTATTGTAAAAACAAAACATATTTCATAATAATAATAACAAGTCTTGAGCCAGATCAAATTAGATATTATACATGTTAGTCTGATTCTAACTCAATATACTAAGAATGTCTGGTGGACTGCCTTTCTTTCTGAGTGTATATGCTTGCACATACACACAAAATATATGGCATATAGGGTCTATATTATAGACATGTATGTATATAGGGTCGACAACAATTGCGGTTTGATGTAGCATCGCTGCCGGCGTTAAAAGATTCCCAGGCGCATTGTTGGATCGCGTGCACTTTGGATTTTATATGAATACATATGTTGGTGTCCGTCATTGTGCATGTGTATGTGTGTGTGTGTGTGTGTGTCGCTGTGTGTGTGTGTATTGTCTGCACGCTGGGGTCGTTTGTCAAACCTTATGGCGTTTTCAAGAGCAAAGCCAAGGTTGCAGCATGCAAAGGAGTTGAGCAGCAGTTGCCTCCATTATCGACACGAAACGGGTTTCCAAGAGATCGACAGCGAGACAGACAGAGAGAAAGAGAGAGAGAGAGAGAGAGAGAGAGACAGAGAGGGAGAGAGGCTAGTTTCATCCATCAGCTGTAGCTGAAGCTGAAGCTGGCAGCAGTTGCAGAATTTCACTTTCTTTCGAAATTGCGTTGACCCCAATTTATTACCAATGACAACAACAACAACAACAACAACAACAACAACAACAACAACAACAACAACAGCAACAGCAGCAGCGTGAATATTTTGGCCATAAACCGCACAACCCCCGGAGATTTTGGACGCTGCTTTTGTTTTGATCTCTTGTCGCAGCGCCTCTAATTGAATTACGTTGAGTCTCTGCCCTCTCCCACATGAAGAGGTGCCAGTTGAGAAGACGACTGATCCCCTGATCACCACCCACTCCCCCCTCATCCTTAATAAATAACTATGAGAAAGTCAACGCCCATTGTTAGTTGTTATGTTCACGTTTTTTTTTGTTTTTTTTTCTCTTGTTTTTTTTTTGGCTACTTACCCATTTCCAGTGCCATTGATATTGAGCTGAATGTGCTGCTTGTCGTTTTCACATAATTAGCTCCGTTGGCAGCTCCAAAAGTAGCTGTGGGTCAAAGTTGACACTGTCTCTGACACTGAGTCAAAACATAAGTATTATGTATGCATTATGTTAATTAGCGGCATCCTAATGAGCTTACAACCAATAAATGCAATAGATATTGTTTTATCCAATGCTAGTTTTTTAGTCTTAGTATTAGCAAATTAATTGTATTTAATAAGGTCGTAGTTCAAACGGCTTTCCCTGCCCAAAATCGTGAAGGATCTAATACTCTATTTGGAACCAATTTCGTAGAACTTCGATGACTATATGTAAAATCGAAGCCGTTTTGAATGAATCAATATATCAGAGATTTAGGAAATTAAGTTCCTTTACACAATCTTCTCTATTAAAATTAATTGGCTATAAATATGCTCTATGCTCTAAATATTTACTTATTTATTCTAGAATTTAGCAAATAACCAAGTTGTGCAATTATTAAGTGAGATATTTGTGTGTCGCGCAATTAGATCATTGTTTAGATTCAAATGAGCTCTTCGATGAAATGCGTTTTTTGGGTATGCCAAAGTTATTTGAGTATTAGCCGATTATTTTTAATCGTATTCGCTATGGGAGACTGTGGGCCAAGATGCCGATTTGAGTCGAAATACTCAACGAGCTGAGTGTCTTCGACATCTTTTTGCGGCGCATCTCAACGATGGATAATCTAAGAAAGTCACTTAATGGACTCGGAGTTGCGTCCTTCTGTAGGATACTTTTGCACAATTTCATTATACCCTTTATACCCATTTGAAGTGGGTGCAAGGAAAGACGACAGATATGGAGACAGGGCGGAAGAAGGAGAGAAGTTTGGATGTCAATGAGCGAGGCGAATGTTAAAAGTAACCATAAATAATGGCAAATTGACATTTAGGCGCATATGGAAGGAAGTTCAACATTTTTGTGGGTTCATCGTTGGTCTCGCATGCAGTTGGTATTTGTGTATTGTGGTCGCCACGAAAGAAAGAAAGAAAGAAAGAAAAAGTAAATGCAATGGCAATGGCAATAGTAAAAGCAAAAGCAAGAGCAAAAGCATTGCCAACAAAAATTAGTTGCTTAGTTACTTGATGATAATTGTGACGCCACCTGGCGGCCGGTAGCTGGCAATTGGTTTGGGCCAATTAACAATTTGGGCCACGACCCCGCCCCGCAAGTGCAGAGAAAGCAACAACTTAGCCAAAATTCATTCGACACACGCATAGTCACACACATATATGTCTATATATATATATATATATATATATTGTTGTGCACAGTGGAATAATTTGAATTAAATAGATATTGCCAAAAATTTGCAAAAGCAGTTAATATCAATGTTAGAGAATACTAAATAGTGGATTATCGAACTGAGCTTTCGTGAAGAGTAACGCATTATAATTGATACAAATAAAACCTGTACAATTTACCATAGAAAAGTCTCTAAATCAGTCGATTTTCCTTTTTTGTGAATTGTCGCAAATATTTAATTGATTTACTTGGTCAGCCGGAGTGCTATCGGTTGTTATCTCTCTGACATTATTTTTATTTGGATGTGCGTGACTTTGACTTTAATTGGCTTTTAATCTAAAGAAGCCTCTACAAATTCCAACTGACTGTTTCACACATTCATCGTTTTGACCACAAGTGGTCGACCGGGGCGAAGAGATTGGCAGTAACTCGCATTGCCAGTTGATCGAATGTGGGCTGCATATTTATTCCGAGTATATTTCAGTTTCGTAATATTCGTAGAATTGTGGGTTCAATATATGTACATATGCAAGATGGAAGATGCCGTATCGGTTATGCCTTTGGCTTATGGCAGGCAACTCTCTTTTATGTTGATGTCGATGTTGATATTGATGTTGATGTTATGCCTTATCGTTGAACATACATTCGAATATTTGTAATCAGTTTTGGGCCGGTTTTCATTTCAAATGACGCATTATCACATGAAATGTCTGGCAATCAGATAATCGGTATTAATAGGCCAATTCTTTTTTTTCTTTTTTATTGGCATAGTCACTCATTTTATCGGCACAATTAAAAATACTGCTATCAATGCTATGCGTAAATACTTCAAAATGAACTAATAAAAACACAAATCAGAACTCCAATATATTTCACGCCTGAATGAAAATGTAATGAAATAGTTTTTTTGATTGATTGTGCATTTAGCGGGTGACTACAAGAAAACATTTTTTATTTCCACGCAAATCTCATTCAGTTTTAGCCACAAAACAGCTAAGCTTTAAGTTTTTATTTGTAAATATTCGAGTATATTATAATATACATATATGTGTGTATTTAGTGTATCTTTATACATCTTAACCCTTTTTCGTCTTTGGATTAACCCTAAAATATGGTACTCTAATTTTCCTATAATAACCAAGTTATTTTTGGGCAAAGCAGACAACCAGTTTACCTGTTTGTCCGCACCCCCTGCCAATCACATTGGGTGGCGCCTCAAGCTCAAGCCAGGCCAAACCTTGGCCGTGAAACGGTGTCGCATAACCGGCTCGCAGGTGCTCTGTGCTTATTGGGTCTGGCAGCGTAACCGGATCAATAATGCCAATCATTTACGGCCTGCTCCAATTTGGCCAAAAATTAATGGCTGTCGTCTCACTGCGACTATTGACCGAAAAGTGAAATGTGAAATTTTAGTGCAGTTGCAATCAATTCTTCAAGCCAGCATATCTGCATATCTGCGATCCCCAGACATGAGTGCACTGAGCGAAATACAATTCATTGTGCATATTTAGCTTAATAACTTTTCAAAAATGTTAAGAAAAGTGTATGGAGAAGTTGAGATATTGTTTGTCAAATGCTAAGGACAATATATTCTTGATCTAGGACATCTAACTAAGGCAATGAAGCCGCTTCCATTTATCTCCGGGATGCCGGAAAATACTTTCTGGTATATCTTGTATTTCATTTTGTAGAAAGTGTGTGGTTTTTTTTCAGTGTACTCTCGCTCTTACTTGCTCTCTTGCACTCCCACTCACTAACTGCATTTTGGTCTTGTTGCAGGCAAATAACAGCCAGTTGACAACTTTTTATTTGGCGCTGGCAACGCTGCTGATGACGGTAGCATCGCTGGCGCTATCGGCGCAGCCGCCGCAGCCAGCTGATCATTTGGTGCCGCCACCAGCACCACCCGGATCACCAGCAGTATCAGTACCGCTACCCGTTGCGCAGCGTCTCACACATGCGGGCTACCCGGCTCTGGCGACGTCTCCGGCTGCGGCACAAGATGGTGGCGGTGGTGGTTTCATGACACGCGTGGCACGTTGGTTTGGCCTGGGAGGTGCAACTGCAGCTGCATCCTTGCCCCGGGATCAGCAACTGAGCGCCAGTTCGTTGAACTATGCGTATCCTAAGCCGGCGCAGCACTTTGATGCCGCTGGCAAACCGTGCGGCCTGTGCAACAAATATCCCTGGGTACCCATGCTGGGTCAGCAGCAGCAACAACAACAGTTGCCACATCAGCAGCAACATATTTTAACCTGGCAACAGCCTTTGGGGCAGGCGTCTCAGCATCGACAGCGTGCTGTGCAGTTCCATGCACCGCCACAGAGCATCTTTGTGCCCATCTCGGCGCCGGTGCCGGGACTCAGTCATGTGGCGATGCCACCACTCTATAGGGCACAACCATTTCGACCGCTCGCAGAGAATGTTGGCGCCCTTTCGGAGCTGCGACCGGTGCCCGTTGTGCCAACAGCAACATCAAATGCACCACAATCCGCTCGACCATTTAAGCCAGCTGAAAGCAGCAGCAGCAGCAGCAGCAGCAGCAGCAGCTTTGAGATTGTGCAGAGCCATCAGTTGACGGATTTTGTTACGTCCGTAGAATATCCGGCTACGTATGTGCAGTCGCATGCCATTGATCTCGGCCAGACATCGGTGGCAACATCGCTGCCCACAAATCATCATTCCCAACAGCAGCTGCAGCTGCAGCAGCAGCAGCCATCGGAACCAGTGCCTCCGCTGGACATTAGCACGGTGCGCTATCAACTGGAGGATTTGAGCGGTGGTTCAGTGCATCAGCATTTGCCTGCCTCGCAGCTCCTCACCGAACTGGGTCACCTGGAGGCACAGACTACAGTGATACCGCCGGCAGATAACTATCCCGCGGCATCCTCGCAGCAGCAACAACAGCACGAACAGGATCAGGAGCAGGAGCACCAGCACTTGTACTATGCGGAACAGTATCAGGAGCTGTCCAGTGAAACTAGCACAGTGACGCCGCTGTACGATCAGCTAATCTACACCACGGAGCAACCGACGCCAGCCGCCGCCGTTGAGCTGAACAATCATTTGATGGTCTCCACCCATACGCGAGATGGTCGGCAACGGGACACACCCAAACGTCTGCTCGATTCGCCCATCAATCACGCGCAGAGCGGCGCACGTCCATTTACCCGAGATCCCTCCGATCTCCACATCCGTCCGGTGCAGCCGACGCGTGAGCCAACGCCAACATCGACCTACGGTGCCATTGATGCCAGTGGACAATATGCTGGCATGTCGCCACCAGGACCTCAGCAGGTGATCATACCATATACGACGAAACAGAAGCCGCGACCCTTCGAGCCAGCCAAATGGACACAAATGCCCAATTGGCGCTTGCATGCCACCCAGCAGCACCAACAGCAGCATCAGCAGCAGCATCAGCAGGACAACGATGTGGAGCTACACGAGCAGCAAGAGTCAAAGGTGGTGAGCACGGCGACAGCGGCACCGCCACCAAATACCCGGCGCACCACCAAATATTTAACTAAAATACTCGCCTCCAATCTGCGCGAGCTGCTAAAGCGGGAGCGAGAGACAAAACGGCGTCCCATGATGCCATTCTTTGGTGTGGACATCTCGAAGCTGCAGCATAACATCGATGGATGGACGGAGCAGGAGTACAACTCCTTGTCGCATCGTCCCAGCACACCAACCATACGTGGCCGTTCCAAGCATATACCCAGCGAATATCTGACTACAACGACGCCCGCTACACCAACTGCATCCACTGCATCCATGCGACAGTCGAAGACGACGCGTGGCGGCTTCGAGTTGGGCGTCAGCGCTGTCAATAATGCCAGCGGTGATCTCTCCACGTCCATTAACAATTTGGAACAACTTCATCTGAAGCACTACCAACCTGTCGATGACAATCGACTGCTGTTGCTCGACTACTACGATTCGCAGCATCGTCACAGCACAACACCGATGCCCACAACGACAACCACAACCATGACACAGCCCACAACGACAATGACAACGATGCCGCCAGTGACGCCGCTTTATGTCCGCACAACAATCCCAACGCCGACGCCCATTGAGGTGTGGAAACAGGCAAAGGTGGCCATACTGCCCCAAACCAATGAGAAGGTATATGTCGTCACTCCACAACCACGCCATCAACATCAGCTGCAGCATCAGCATGGCGAACTATCCGCATCAGCATCGGTGCCGGCGCCAGTTTATCAAACGCCTGCACCCAGATTTCCACGAGTGCGACCAACGCCAGCCTCGGCGACAGGTGAGCCAATTAGATGTATATATGTATTTAAAAATACCTGATCAGCATCAATTGACGAGTTTATATAGCCTAGTCTGTCTGTTCGTTGTTGTTTAATCTTGGAATTTATCCGTATGTTTGCTGCACTATTTCCTATAGCTGCCAGAGGAACTATCGGCCAAAAGATAAGTTTCTGCCATATGGGGATACGCCGAAATTTTAATCATCATTTGGCCTCTAAAATAAAACAACATTTAAATTTTGAAAAATGAATTTTTGATAAAAAAAAGGGATGATTTTGTGGTAAGCTACAAAATCACATGGAGAGAAGCGTTCAAACTCATTGGCGAAGTCAGACTTATCAGATTACATCAAATCAATCTGGGTATTGGTACTGATACTGGCACTTATAATACCCTCTGCAAGGCTATACAAAAATGTTTTGAGCAAATACAATGCCTTGGAAATGGACAAATTCAATATTTAAATATGTTTTCGTTATTTGGCGACTCTTTGTTAATATTGCACTTTTTTTTTGCACATTTCTAATATGTATGCTTTGCAACGCAGCAGCAACTAGTGAACTAGTGACGGCTGCCACGCCCACTCCGGCAACGGAACAGCTGCGCCACTATACGCCGGACATATTTGGTCTGATGGGTCTCTCGGCTTTTGTGCCTGCCGAGCCTGTGGAAATCATTGATGGCAATTCCAAAGTAAATCGCAACGCAGCCACAACCGGTCGCATCGATATGTAATCTGTTCTTTTATTTTTGGTTTTTGCTCCAAACACACTAACATTTACACTCACACACACACACACACACCATGCCACAAATTATTCATGACCACATTCACCCACCCATTCACACACACATAAATACAGGTTAACACAATTGTGACGTCGGCGCCAACTGCGGCTGCGCCACAGCGGCCAACCACAAAATCCACAATATCGCCAAGGCCCAGATAGACAGTGAACAGTGGACAGCTAGACAGACCGACAGACAGACAGGCATTCAACCCATATGAGGCAGCCCCGCTCAGCAGATCCGAGAGCAGCGGAGCAGAGCGCATCTATTGTAATATATATTTCCCCATTGGTCGATCGGATCGTTTCATTGACTTATTGTGTGCTGCGACTTTATTTTGTAAGCCTAAACCAATTTTTAGAATATTCTTGCATTTGGTAGTTTCACACGTACACCTAGTTGTATACATGCACATATATACATATATATATATATATATATATATATATATATATATATATATATATATATATATATATATATATATACACACATATGTAATTGTAATTTGCTTACTTTTTTTTCGCGTCGTATTTTTTTTTGTTTTTTTGTTAGTGCTTTAATATTAAATATACAAAATATGTCCATTCATACATGCATTTGTATATAGAAATATAGGAAGTCTAATTGGCATGGCCACGCCCCTTGTCACGTGTGTTTGTGGACGGCAAAAATGTGCAATGTGAAATGTGTGTATCTTTATAATTAATTAAGCTAAACAATTTAAATATATATAAATACATATATTTATATTTATATATGTATATACACATATATTGAAATGCAACAATACCAATCAAAGTCACTTTATATATTTAAGACAAGAAAATTGCAATTTTTCATTATTTACCAAATAAAATATATATATTATTACTTGATAATTGGGTGTTTTAAATAAAAGGGCTGCCCACAAGCAAGCAACATAATATTAAATATATTTAGACACTAAATGTTGATTACATATTACCTCGAATTACAAATGGATTGCTGTAAATGCAGCTTTTATTTCGACATTTTCGAACCAGTACATTGAAAATGATTTTCAAATTTGCCGCTAAATTGTGCGCTCTGGCACCACTAGGTGAAGTTGCCAGACCACTCAGCAAAAATGTACGTATAATTGTAGAGTTGCCACCGGCAACTGTTGATCGCAATGAGAAGGTTACACCTTCTGGAACTAGCGATAAGTGAATCAATATATTAAATTTGAATTAAAAGCATGATGAAAAACTATATAAACAAGCTAATATACAACTTCAACCAATCAACTAAACGAGTACTGCAAACACTGTTGACAAATAAAACAACACTTCAATGGCTAGACAAAACATAATATAAATGGTCATCGCATTATGACGTAGATGCATGAATCGTAGCATACATCATATGTTGGTTGCTTTCTTGAAGGCAACAACCCTAGTATTGTGTTTGTGTCGTTTTTTTATTTATTTTTTTTTTATTTATGAACTGTTTGTTGATTGTAATGCATTAGCATTTTGTTTATTGTTTGTATAGCCGGGATATATAATCACAATGTACACATTACTGCACGGCTTCTACAAATATCTCACACAAAAAGATGATTTTTGTGTCGTCATACTGGGCCTCGACAATGCGGGCAAAACGGTAAGCTACTCCGGCATAATGCAAAAGGCCGACAAGACATGACACGACACGACTCGACACGTCTGCAAATGCTGTCAATAATTTATTTATTATTGGTAGACGTATCTGGAGGCGGCCAAGACCAAATTCACAAAGAACTATAAGGGTCTGAACCCCGCAAAAATTACAACGACAGTGGGTCTTAACATTGGCACCATCGACGTGCAGGGCGTGCGTCTGAATTTCTGGGATTTGGGTGGCCAACAGGAGCTGCAATCCCTGTGGGACAAATACTATCAGGAGTCGCATGGCGTCATCTATGTGATAGACTCGAATGATCGTGAACGCATGGATGAGTCCAAACTCATATTTGGTAAAATGTCATTTCAGCCACTATTTTTTCACATCTGCCAACTAATGTTGGTTCATTTGCAGATAAAATGATTAAAAATGAACTGTTGTCGGGGGTGCCGCTGCTGATACTGGCCAACAAACAGGATCTGCCCGATGTGATGGGCGTGCGCGAAATTAAACCGGTGTTCCAACAGGCTGGCGCCCTCATCGGACGGCGCGATTGCCTCACAATACCAGTCTCGGCGTTAACTGGTGAAGGTGTCGACGAAGGAATCAAATGGCTGGTGGAGGCCATTAAGCGGCATTCTTTGGTTCGCCCGCCCCGTGAAAACGATTGAGGAGCTGCACACAAAGGATGCAATGCTGAATGAATGCTACGAAAGATTCCAGAATATAACATAGAACATAGTGAGAACCTTGTAGAGTAGTGGCTTCCTGACATTAGGTAGGCCATAGTGTTAAGCATGTATTAAATACATAAAACACACACTTTTTTAATGAAGGACAGCTATCGTCAATTTTATACACACATATACGGAGATATGGGAGTCGTTCACTGAATAATCAGACGGCTTAAATATGTATGTAAGCTGAAAATATGCAAAGTTGTTTTTCCCTTGGTGTATATTATTACAACTAGCAGCTAGGATATAAGGAAGCAATAACGAATGTTACGTAATATAAAAATTCAAGGGGTTCTCATCTGTATATCATCTAAATCCAAAATCTGTATAAAAAACGGACAAGCTTTTTAAATGAAATTAATTGTAATATTTTTTGAAGCCGTACAAACCATAATATTTCATTTGATTTAACATTAGATACGTGCTATATATTTCCCTTAATATATATATTTCACATTGTTTCGTATCCAAGCGCACGTTAGGCATGAGAAAAAGATGTCAGCTGTAATTCAGCTCAATTTTATAGTCTTCTCATCAGCTGTTGGCACGTGAAAGCAAAAACATTTAACTATCTTCCCCTTAAAGATAGAAGAGCTTAAACTGTTTATTTTTCGAGCGTGATGACATGTTGAACATTTCAGTGGAAATGCCCATATGTACATATGAATACTGCGAGCGGTGGCTATTAACTTTTACCTGTCATGGACTCGCATTGACACTTATCAGCACAGCCGGTGACGACTTCGCTTATCCATAACGAACCGTTCTCACGGCTGGTATTTGTGCTATCAGTGCTATCAGGCCTACTCCTCACAGATAAGTTAGAATGGTTGGTATGTGTCTGTGTATTCAACGAACGATGGTGGTATACCATGGCAGCCATGGGAGAGTGTCTACTACGATAACTATATCAACTTTGCCCCGCTAGGTGCACATGCTGGGCATATGTACATGGGCTGCTCTTCTGCAATCGTCGATGGAGTCTAAGGGACACAAACTTTCAGTAATTTCAGTCTATTGCCAGAGTTTCAATCGCGCGGGCTGCTCATTAAATGCGCGTATGTGTGTGGTGTTTCGTTAATCCGCGTCGACCTGGAAACCGCAACTTTGGGAACATGATGATGGTTAGCCAAGCTGGGTTAAGCTAAAAATCGCTGACAAAAAGAGTGAGGCGTGTTTGCGTTGATTGTGATTGTGTGTGAGTGGGAATTGGAATCGTAATAACTTAAACATTAGATAACACGTATGTACGCTCGCTCACTCGCTCCTTGTCTATGTGAAGCAGCGTAACCGCTTATCATTATTCCAGTGTCATTACCTGTGCGGGGTTCGTATTTGGGACTGTATATTGAGTTAGTTAGTGTCCAGTGTTGTTTATTATTGGGCAGAGGCGAGAATCATGTATCCGTATTATGAGCAGGATTGGAGCGTTTTGCCACCGGAGAACAATCGCAGGTGAGTTGCAAGCGATGGCGTTTCTGATTGGTTTGCTTTTTTTTTTTAAATTGCGTTCTGCGCGAAATAAGTTGTCATCGTCAGAATCGGCAAGCACAGTTATCGATAGCTGCATGCTCCGATAACAGTGCTGCTACTGTCAAAACGAAATGTCAACCGCATACTAGCGCTCTCTCGCTCTCACTGCTGGCAACAACTACTATTACTACTACTGTTGCGCTCATCATCAACATTCTACGAGCATTTTTGTCGCGTTGTTAAAATTTGCATTGGAAGTCGGAGGCGGCAGGTGGCTACGAATCAAACGTTCAGAACGTTATTTTGTGCAATCAAGAGTTCGAAGCAGAAAGAAAATCGACAATCAGAGTTTGTGGCAAACTCACAATTAATTAATGTTTAGTTTTTCTTGTGGCCAAAAAGGAGCATACGCTTAACTCAGTGGGTGCTTGTGTGCGTTCCGCGTACACATGTGTGTGAGTGTGGGTGTCTGTGCGTGTGTGTCTACTTGGGCTTTCCAATGAAATCACATCGATTAACAAGAGCAGAAAGTAATATAATATTTAACAATAATACATGTTCAATTCAATTCAAGGAGAGTGCATGCAAGCAGACACGCAACAGCAAATACGTGTATTTTCTGTGAAATATTTTTTTCTTTTGTTTTTTTGCAACGCACGCAATGCACTCGATAGATGCCCATATCGATATCGGGTATCGATAAGAGACAGCAATGACGGCAGCTGTTTTGGTTTTAGCCATGACTGGTGACTGGTGACTGTGACTGCCTTTTGGGCCTTTAAACAAAAGTTGAATCAGTTGTAAACGTTTTATGTGGCAATTTTGACTGCATTGTTTATCATTCGCGTAGAGCAACGTTTTAAGGAGCATGTAATTAGAATTATATGTCTCTCATTTCAATTGGATTTTGATAAGTCTCTCGCCGTTTGTGTTTCTGTTTGTGTGCGTGAATGTGTTTCGCTGTCAGCTCAATGCGCGCTAATCGTCTATTCGGCTCGGCTCACGCTTCAAGTGCGATTTTCGCATTATTCATACAAGTAAATTAATCATTTCATTTTCATCAGCAACAGCAGTGCAAGCTGTTTTGCATTTGCTGTGAGCCTCTTCCATTTTTTGTCGTCTTAATTAACACCCCACACACCTAGCCTATTTTTTCCCTTCTTAAATTTTTTTTTTCGTTGTGCGCTTCGTTGGCCAGCACTGGCAACTACATAAATGCATATACACACACATATATACACATATATGTGAACATATGTAACTGATGCCAGTTAAAAAGGTACTACAATATGTACGAATGTGTGTGTGGGCACAGAGCATTTTGTTTGCATTGAGCGACGACAGATCATGTGTACTTCTGTGCATGTGTGCTGTATATTTGTTTAAGCTTCGGCATACGCACACACATACGCAGCTACTAGCCATATATATATATGGATATATTTGTGTGTAGCGTTAGCGTTTCATAACAGCAGCAAGTTTATTACTGATATTGTTTGTGCACTGTGAGATTTGTGTTAGGAATAATAATAACACATCGAGTGAGATTCAGACTGCTAAATCTAACAGTCTATCAGTAGCAAAGAGAGCGCTGTAAAATAGTGTGTCTCTCTGGGAGAGTGCGAGCAAAAGTGAGCGACGAGTGAAGCAAAGCAAAAGCTGCACTCAACTCAAATAGCGGCCGGCTGTCAGTGTTGTTCTTGTTCTTGTTGTTGTTGCTGTTATTGAGCTGTGCAATACGGTGGCGAGTGTTGCAAAGTGTGCGAAACTCGAGATCGCATTTTTTATTTTATTTTTTTCGTTGCCACCTCGCCAACGTAACTGTAATAAAAATAATAACAGAAACGACAACAGGAGCAGCAGCAACGGCTACAATTGAAGTTCAACATAAAAGCATAGGCCGGCAAGTTGTAGAGGAAGCAGAGCAAGATATATAACCATCAACAGCAGTAGCAGCAGCAAAAGCAGTAACATCAGCAGTTAGTCTGCTTGCCACAACCAAAGTGCTTCAGATCCGCCGAAGCAGCAGAGCAGCCGCATCGCCTCACAATGAATTCCGAGCATGGGTATGCGTCTTTAATGTACAGTGATCCCTCGAAAATTGCAACTCAAAGTTTTCAATCATTAAACAAATTTATTACATGTTCGCGAACAATTTGTTTTTTTTTTACTATCATTTATTTGGAAATCTGTTGGCATTTCCAAAAAACTCGAATATACAAACAACATTTAATTTTTATTGTGTTTGTATAAATTACAGACAATCAAAATATAAGAGTCAACTGAAGCAATGAAAACAATATATTCTAATTTTCGAGCGACCACTTAACATGTACAAATTGGCATTAATATGCATGCAAACATACATAGATACATACGTATATTGTTCAGTTGGTCATATCAGTCTCTAATTATTTAAATTGTATGCCCAACAGATTCAATCCTGCCTTCAATATGGCCACCATACGGCAGGCGTTCACAGAGGCCGTCGAAAGAGGTAAGTAAACCTTTGCCTTTGCTTTTGCTTCTTCGTCTCAAATGTAACTGACTGACTCGTTCTTGTTGTTCGCCCACACACAGTTAGAATGCCAACGCCCACACGACTGCGTGATCTTATCCGCCAGATACGCGCCGCCCGCACCGCAGCCGAGGAGCGGGCCGTGGTTAACAAAGAGTGCGCCTACATACGCAGCACATTCCGCGAGGAGGATTCCGTATGGCGGTGAGTGGGCCATTAATTGCAATTGCATTACGTAAACGACTCAATAATTTTAACCTGGTTTAATTTATTTTTTTTTTGTGTGTTGCAGTTGTCGGAACATTGCCAAGCTGCTGTACATACACATGCTCGGTTATCCGGCACACTTTGGCCAGCTCGAATGCCTCAAATTGACGGCCAGCACGCGTTTTACAGATAAACGTATTGGTTACCTGGGTGCCATGTTGCTGCTGGATGAGCGCCAGGATGTCCATTTGCTGATCACAAATTGTTTGAAAAAGTAAGCGAAAAAAAGCAACATTTGGCTTGGCAATTAGCCACAGGCAATTAAATATTATAATCTGTAGTATGTACATGAAATTAGTTGTAATTATGGCAGCATACTATTGGTGACTTCGTAATAGAAGTGTCTTTTAGCTATAGCTAAAGCTTAGTCAGTCTATTTAACGAGTTGTTCTGGCTGTTCTTGTAATTTGCAGCGATTTGAACAGCTCGACACAGTTTGTGGTTGGATTGGCGCTGTGCACTCTGGGCGCCATTGCATCGCCAGAGATGGCCCGTGATTTGGCCAGCGAGGTTGAGCGCCTCATGAAATCGCCCAATACGTATATACGCAAAAAGGCAACACTTTGCGCATTTCGAGTTATTCGCCGCGTGCCTGAACTGATGGAGATCTTTTTGCCGGCAACGCGTTCGCTGCTCAGCGAGAAAAATCACGGTGAGTGTGTATGAAATACTGTAATCAATTTAAAATAAATAAATTTACATTAACATTCACCTGACTTGCTCTTGCAGGCATCCTTATTACCGGGGTGACGCTCATTACGGAAATGTGCGAGAACAGTTCGGATACGTTGATGCATTTCAAAAAGGTAAGTTGTTGGCCAGCTCACAGCTGGCAGCTGGGCTAACAGGCAGATAGGCTCCCATATCAGCGAAAGGTGTTCCATATGGAAGTGAAAACAAAAAGAAATAAAGGCCTTCAACGGTTCCCAGGCATCGCTTGCGATCCGCTCCGATCCACCCCCATTTTCAGATATGTGGGCGGCCATATTAGTGTATGTTGTATTATATAGTTTTATTTTATGATTTTGTGCCCTCTTCTGATTTGCGCTTTTTCTTGACGCCTTCTGCGAATGGATTCGTATCTATCTGTTTTTATTTGTTATCGTTATCGTTCTTAACGCTTTGCCACTTACTATTTTTGACACCTATCGACATTTTGTAATTACAAATTAACGCTTGTTTGTTTTTGATCGAATACCGCGCAAACACAAAATGAAATTTGTTGTAATTTGCTTGCCAGGATAGCGGAAATCGAGAGGTATGATTGTGATTTGTGCCTTAACTTACAATTAAACACTATTACTGTTGTTGTTATCTAATTGTTGTTGTTGTTGTTCTTGTCGCTCTTTGTTTTTGTAACGTCTTCCCCTATACACACATTGGTATTGTTTTTACACTCTGTTAGGTTAAAAAAAAAACGAAAAAACGACAATTTTGAAAAGAGCTTACTCTGTGAAGCTCTTCCGGTTGTGTCAATCTTAAAGACAACCAATATTTTGGGTTTTCTTAGTTTAGTTTAGTTTTTGCTGCACTTTCCACCTTCTTTCTTCCTACTCTTTCTTGCACACGCACCAAACACATAACTCGACCCGCTTTCCGCACACACTCACATTATACTGCTATTCTCTTTCCCTTTTTCTCTCGCTCTCTCTCTCTCCTCCCTCTCTCTCTCTCTCTCTCACACGCAGACACACACAGACACATACATATGCTTATGCTTATGCACTAAACTCACGTTCTCCGTCTGCCTCCTTTTGCCATAGATCGTGCCGAATCTGGTGCGCATTTTAAAGAGCCTTATCTTGGGCGGCTACTCGCCCGAGCACGATGTCAGCGGCGTCAGTGATCCGTTCCTGCAGGTGAAAATCTTGCGCTTGTTACGCATTCTCGGCCATAACGATCCGGATGCCTCGGAGGCAATGAACGATATTTTGGCGCAGGTGGCCACCAATACGGAGACCAGCAAGAATGTTGGCAACACCATTCTCTATGAGACGGTGTTATCCATTATGGATATACGGTATGTGTGAATCCTTATTGAAACATTATTAGACGTCCTTACTGTTGGGACTACAAGTAGCCTTAGAGCTAACTAATTAATTGCTGCAGCTGTGTTCATTTCTGTGTGTTGCTTAACCATTTATAATATTTGCAGTTCGGAGGGCGGCCTGCGCGTCTTGGCTGTGAACATCCTGGGACGCTTTCTACTCAATTCGGACAAGAATATACGATATGTGGCGCTGAATACGCTGCTGCGAACTGTCCACGCCGATACGTCGGCGGTGCAGCGGCATCGCACCACCATATTGGAGTGCCTCAAGGATCCCGATGTGTCGATACGGCGGCGAGCAATGGAGCTGTCATTTGCGCTGATCAATGCACAAAATATACGTACAATGACCAAGGAGCTGCTGCTGTTCCTCGAGAAAGCCGACGCAGAATTCAAGGCTCAATGCAGCTCTGGCATGATACTGGCCGCCGAGCGCTACTCGCCGAATTCGCGCTGGCATCTCGATACACAGTTGAGCGTTTTGATTGCGGCCGGCAATTATGTGCGCGATGATGTGGTCTCCTCCACCATACAGCTGGTGTCCAGCAGTCCCGTGCCGGAGCAAACGTATATCACGAATCGATTCTGGGAATCGCTGCAAGTGGCCAATCACTGTGAGGACAAGCAACCACTGTTGCAGGTCGCCGTCTGGGCCATAGGCGAGTACGGCGACCTCTTCATGTACGGCGTTAATGAGGATGGTGAGTCAAAAGAGAATATAAGATATGCCCCCACCCCTCCATACATTTTTATGTTAACTACGAACGGAACGAAAAGGCACAGTTATTGTCCTTTATATAATCATCATATCTTATCGGTTTCGGATCCGAAAACTAAGCTCTTCTTTTGAACGGCAGTGCCAACATCAGTTATATTGGTCCGATCTGGCCGACTTTTATATTAAGAAAAGAAACCATGTGCAGAGTGTTATTAATATATGTATGTACCCTTAAGTTGAGATATTCACACACATATACTTAACATAGAGTCGTCTGCAGGAAAAACTTAGAATGCCTTCTGCAGGGTCGGGTCATACAATAGGCAATTAGTTAATCCACGTTTTTTTTTTAACTTTTCACAGAGTTTGAGCGTCCCACGGAGAGCGATCTGATCGCTGTGTATCATAAGTTTTTAACCTCTGCTCAAGTGTCCACCACAAGCAAGCAATATGCGCTCATCTCCCTGGCCAAGCTGAGTACGCGCCTGCAGCAGTGCGTAGAGTAAGTGATGTCGTTCCCAGGTTTCTGCATTGTTCACCCGTATTCAATATTCAGTGTTTTGATATTTTTGCGTTTTTGATTGCAGAGAGATCCAGGCGTTGATTACCTCGTTTGGCAGCCATCTGAATGTGGATCTGCAGCAGCGCGGCGTTGAGTTTACGCAACTATTCGGAACTTACAAGCATCTGCGTCCGCCACTCCTGGAGAAGATGCCAGCCATGCAGATCAGTCGCATCAGTTCGCAGAATGGCGAAAGTGGCGGCTCCTTCGATGACAACAGTCCGGATGTCATGGAGAATGGCATCGAGTTAGGCGGCAGTGGTACGCATCCCTTAATCGAAAGCAATATGAATACAATGGGTGACAATACGGTGAGTGCATTTGGCATTATGCTGGCATGCAGCGATCTAACTTCATTTTTCCCTTCGCCTTATAGAATATCCTGTTGGACTTATTAGGCAGCACAGATTTGTCGGTGGGTGCCAGCGATTTGGCCATGGCCACAGATCTGTCTAATGCGGTGCATAAAAAGAACACACGCAACGCCAACAATGATGTCACGTCCAATGCGACGGTGTCCAATAATCAGGATCTGCTCGATTTACTCGATCTGGACATGTCGGCAGCCTCGACGACAGCCGTCATGGGCGTTAATCTATCAGCTGATCATAACAGTGCCGCCAACATGAACACTATGCTCGGTGGCCTCGATCTGAGCGGCTTTGGGGGCTTGAACTCAATGCAGCCCAGCAGCATACCAACTAACGGCAATGATCTGGCGAGCATGCTGGGAGGCCTGAACGCTGGCGTTGGTGGTGCGCCATCAACTGCTGCTGTGCCGCCCATTGGCGGCGATGTGAACAGCAGCAGCCTGCTAGGTGAACTAAATCCGACAACAGTATCCAACAATGTGACAGTGGTACGTATGCGTATAAACGATAGCTCCTTCTTTCGCATACCGATCAATCGAATCAATTAATTCTTGCAGCCTCTGCAGCGTGCCAAACTGACGGCCCTGGACAAGAATGGACTGGTGGTGCAGTTGTTGCCGGTGCCGGGCAGTGACTGTATGAAGATTTGCATTACAACCACAAATAGCTCAGACAATACATTGGAACAGTATGTGCTACAGGTGCGTCTACTTCGTGTGGTTGTTTATCTTATTTATTCTGTTGGACATTCGTAATTTGGGGCTGATTTAATTTTTTTTTTTATTACAGGCAGCGGTGCAGAAGAGTTTTAAACTGCAAATGCTGACGCCGTCTGACTCTGTGCTGCCTCCAGGTGGCGTCATCACACAGGAAATGCGGGTTGTGGCCACATCCAATGTAAGTTTGTGATAAGCAATATGCAATTTGCATTATGTGATTAAAACTGTTGTTCATCTCTCTCTCTCTGTCTCACTCTCTCTCTCTCTCTCTCTGTCTCACTCTCTCTCTCTCCCTCTCTCTCTCTCTCTGGATAACAGGCTGTGCTGCGCATGCGTCTGCGCATTCAATACACGCTGGATGGTCAGCAGCTGGTAGAACAGACGGAGGTCAGCGGCTTCCCAGAACAGCAACTATCGAACGAATAAATGCGTGTTTTGAAGCAAGCGTAGTAAGCGTTGCCTAAAGTCTAAAGACATCTACTCCTGCACACACACTCCCATACACACACACACAGACACACACACCCAGGCAGACATACAAACACACGGAGCACATCTAAAAACAGTGGTTGGCACACACGCATATATTGTAAAATAAGTTAACATACACACACACACACACATACAGACATTCACTCATACAGAAGGACGCCAGAAGAGCGAGTGTGCCGTGAATGAAGAATTGGGCAACAGCAGCATCGCATAGCGTTGCCAGACTGTCGTGGCGTCTGGTAGACGTGTGTGCTCGTAACCAGTTGCTATAAAAATACACAAAGCATAATTTATAATTTATATAGTATATATATGTGTACCTAATTCCCCGATGATTTTTCTGTCAAAACATCTTTGATTAGTGTCCGCGTGCGTGTATACAATTGATTACTATTATTATTAATAATTTTATTATTATTCTTACGACTATTTGCCTTTTTGTGCGTGTAATAGTTTTTATGTAAAAGACAACATTCAGTTTTAATGTAAGACAATAAAGTCATTTAAAAGCGTCAAGCTACATTACATAGCCACTACTCTAAATTGTAAAATTGCAACAATTAACAATAACAGCGAATGTATTTTATTGTACTTTAACTGACAAACAAAAAAAAAACTCAAACACGCAACTGAAATGTGACAAATTGTGTATAGCAAAAAGCGCAGCGCATTTATTCAAGCTTAGCATTTCCGGATTGAAAGCAGCAGTTTATCGATATGTCAATCGATCGTTACACTTACGTTCGTATATCGATTAAGATTGCAGATAGAGTGCATAGTTATTATTATATAAATGAAACTTAATTTGTTATACGTATGTATGTATGTAATATGTATTAAATCTTTTTTTTTTATATAATCAATTAAGGCTTCAAGTGCTGGCGCGCGGACCGTGTGAACTTACAGCAGTGCAGGCACAATTCTCAGGATTGAGTTGTGTTGTGCTGTGACGTCACACAATATTCGTCGATGGACGTTCGACAGACAGAGACAGATTGACAGACACAGACACACGCGTACAGATACAGACGGAGACAGAAGCGCAGTGTTGGAAGCCGGCACATAAGCTCAGCACACCGTGTGGCCTACATTTCCACAACCTATCACCCGATTAATTGTTATTTCCTGTGCGCACGTACTTAAAAGGGATTCAACAGATACAACTGTAACAGCAAATAAAGAACTGCAACAGCAGACAGCACTGTGGAAAACTAGATAATTATAATGAATATATATGTATACATATATATTATATTAATAAAACAAAATATATGACTAAAGAAGCAAACACAACAAAAACTATGCAATTGATAACTGGTAACCTTTAGTTGCGGGTCAATGCGTATTATGTTTAATATTTTGGGGGGTAACAAGAGAGCAACATTTATGTACTATTATTATGTATGTATGATTATACGATTATAAATATGTCGAGCATCAGAATGAGAAAAAATGAAAACAAAACAAAAACAGCAACCACAACAACTAATAATAATAATATAAAATCAAGATTAACATATTGTACAATATCTTATATATATTTTTTTTTGTATTCATCAAACCTTTGAGCTGAAATAAACACCAACATTTTGTTTTATCAAAAGAATATACGGCTCTTTGCTTGCATCTTACTTTTACAATAAGTGTTTTGCTCTGAATTAGCAATAATGGAATATGGATACATCTTCTTCACAACACTTACAAATTCTGAAATCTAATATCGTTCATTCTTAGAATTAGAACTGTGTTTATTTTGTCGAATTTTAAACACATCATAAGCCCTGCAAAGTATACAGTATTTTCGTAAAGAAATCTTGTATTTTTTTGGGATGTTCCAAATTACATATTTTATGTCAAGTTTCGTGAGCTGGTCGAATTCTAATCAAAGATTCAATGCATATAATTTCTTTCGGTATTTTATTTCCGATTTTTATTATTCAAAATTTGACATGTTTATTTTTTTTGCCAAAGCATTGCGGTGAAGAATAGAAGAAATATATGTACACTTCGGGAAATTCGATTAAAGGCACTTGTGATTATGATACTTAAAACTGTACCAAGCCTAACAGGACTTTCCCTGCGCAATTTATAACCGTGCTTATTCTTCTTTTTACACTGTTATGATGCATTGGACTGAAAGTGCCGTTAGTATTTTTCAAGATTTTTGCACATTTGTGTTTTTGAGCTAGTTTTGGTTCGAAATTCGATTAAAGGCAGTCACTTTCTAGCCTTCGGAAAAGGAAGTAGGGCGTTATGCGGAATTCTTTTTGAATGGATGAATAATAAAGAATACATTATTATTTCATATTTTATTGGTAAAAAATTACAAAAATTTGGAATGGGAAAGGAAAAAACACTCTAACCTGAGGAGATAGCTAAGATCCTTGCTTACAACAATGCTGGATTGAACAACAGGCAAATATCATTTAAATTAAGTCGATCGGTATCAGCAATTGACGACAATACACAAAAACCAACATAAAATAATTATCAAACAGCAAAAATCTGCAATCTTACGGGCTGGGCTGGATAAAAATGCTACGCCATCTCAAATTATATTTGATTCAAGGTTACAAATGTTGAAACAAGGTGTTTAACAAATTTTATCAGGAAGTAATCGATTAATTTGGAAGAAAATATTGTCAAGTCCAGTCAAAGGCACACCACATAGCCAGATTAAAAATTGGAAAAGAACACATGTCCTGGACCCAAGTGTGGCAAAATGTGATAAAATCAATTTCGATGGTTTCAACGGTTTAAATGATTACTGGCGCGATTTAAAGAAGTCTGAGAGATTTTTCCATACTCGAAGTTGAGGCGGTGCTTCACTCATGATCTGGGTTGCATTCGTCATTACAACAGGATCCTCATTTGTAAAACTTCAGGCCGTATACATTTGAGGGTTATATAAACCTGTTGGACGAAGTTTTGGTGAACTTTATGTAGCATCAGCCAGACACAAAAACTTTATTTCAGCAGGATATATGTAATATATATATATGTGTGAATATATCTGTAATTTTAAAACGATTTGTTTGAATTAAGAGAAATTGTGCTCATCATGGTCATCTTTTGTATCGCTCTTGCCAGCATAGCCAATCTCATTCTCTGCAGTATTCGGCTTCCAAAGCAATGCAGTACAGAAATTGCCAAAGTTCATCCCCAACCCACCGGGAGACAATGCGTCAATCAAGCTTTGAATTTCCTCCACACTGTTGTCATATCCAAAAGCACGCATCATAAAGCTTAGCTCCTTGGCAGTTAAATATCCACGTCCAGTCACATCCAATACGTTGAATACATATTTGATTTGCGATATATTGACTTCTTTTGTAGTCTCCATTTTTTTGTTATGTAAATATTCGGTCTAAATGAAATATCTAGTTGTTTCCTATTCTCTCAAAGTTTACTGGGATACAAATTGAAATAAATTTCTTCACCTAATTTGGATCTATCTCTAAGCTTTTGTGGATATTACTAGGTATTATATGTATGTATTTTTAGTTTTTGGTGCGCACTGCTAAATTTTTTTTTGGCACAGAACAGGGTAGGTTTAGCCAAGAAAGTCCGATCTTTGAAGGAGATTCCTAATAATCTGTCCTCCAAGTTTGGCTTTGTTTTGGCCGATTAAAAATGTTGGAGGAGTTTCCTAGTTCTAAGCTTCCAAGTTTGGTAGTTTCAGATTTAAAATTGCGGGAGATATTGGCTTTAGAAAATGTTGAGGAGGCTCCATAGAGCACTGGCGAAACGAACGCCTGTTGCTGACGACTGGGCATGCTCAAAGTCGACAGTCACAAAGGAGAGACTAAATTGGGCAATTGGTACATTCCAGCCCTATAAATCTCCCGGAATGGACGGCATAACGCCAGCCTTCCTTCAAACGGGCTAGGACATACTCCTCTCCCGTATTAGGAAAGCTCTAGTAAGTAGTAGTAAGTCATCGGACACATACCGAGCGCATGGAGGAGAGCTAGGGTAGTCTTCATCCCCAAAGCAGGGAAGAAAGATATTACCGACCCAAAGTCCTTCAGACCCATCAGCTTAACATCGTTTTTACTGAAAACGTTGGAAGAGCTGGTGGACTACAAGATTATAAGCACTTTGCTTAAACAAAGGCCGCTGCATTCAACGCAGCTTTATACATGTCGTAGTATTGCCGGCAAATCATGGGGTACATCACCACAGATAGTAAGATGGCTATAACTAATGGTAGTAAGACCCGTGCTAACCTATGGGGTAACCGGGATGACAGAGCACGGTTGATCACCGTAAAAAGCAACTGCAAAAGTTGCAAAGAATGGCATGTGTTTGTATGACAGGAGTAATGCGCACCTTGAAGCCTCACACCACTCCAACACATCATAAGGCTCAAGCAGAAAGCGACGCTTTTGAGGATGTCAGCTGAAGGAGTTGGGGGCAATCGCATCCTAAGCAATAAAGATGCCCAACTCCACTCAAATGAACTGCTCCTGCTACTGCATCCCAGGGACGAAATGAAAGCCGAATACATCTTCGAGCGAAATTTCACAGTTTATATGAGCAGTAAAAGGGATTGAACAACTTTGGAAGTGGTCCATCCTATGAAACCGCACATCATTGTGTGAAAAACGAAATTAAGTGCGCGGATGCATTCCGAATGTTGATTGTGGCATACGGAGAAGCTACCTTGGACCGAAGCAACGTTTATCGGTGGTACAAAATGTTCTCAGAAGGCCGAGAAGATGTGAACGACGAAGAGCGTGCCGGACGCCCGAGCACTTCAACAACAGACGAAAAAATTAATGGAGTGGAGAAAATGGTATTGGCCAATCGTCGAATCACCGTCAGAGAAGTTGCTGAGGAGCTAGACATATCGATTGGCTCATGCTATTCGATTTTTATCAATGATTTGGGCATGAGACGGGTCGCCGCGAAATTCGTACCAAAATTGCTCAATTGCGACCAAAAACAGCATCGCATGAACATTGCTAATGAGATGTTGGACTCTGTCCGGGACGACCCAAATTTGCTCCAGAGTTGCTTGTGCGCGACTTTTTGGCCAAAAACAACACACTAATGATGCCGCAGCCACCGTATTCCCCAGATCTGGCCCCCTGTGACTTTTTCTTGTTCCCTAAACTGAAGAGGCCCATGAAAGGACGACGTTACGCTACACTTGACGAGATAAAGACGGGATCGAAGGAGGAGCTGAACAAGATAAAAAAAAAATGATTTTTTGAAGTGCTTCGAAGATTGGAAAAACCGTTGGCACAAGTGTATAATATCTCATGGGGATTACTTTGAAGGGGACAAAATAGATATTCATGAATAAATAAATAATATCTGAAAAAACACAAAATTCGCGATACTTTTTGAACACACCTCGTATATGATTACTGGCGCGATTTAAAGAAGTCTGAGAGATTTTTCCATACTCGTAGTTGAGACGGTGCTTCACTCATGATCTGAGCTGCATTCGTCATTACAACAGGATCCTCATTTGTAAAACTGCAGGCCGTATACATTTGAGGGTTATATAAACCTGTTGGACGAAGTTTTGGTGAACTTTATGTAGCATCAGCCAGACACAAAAACTTTATTTCAGCAGGATATATGTAATATATATATATGTGTGAATATATCTGTAATTTTAAAACGATTTGTTTGAATTAAGAGAAATTGTGCTCATCATGGTCATCTTTTGTATCGCTCTTGCCAGCATAGCCAATCTCATTCTCTGCAGTATTCGGCTTCCAAAGCAATGCAGTACAGAAATTGCCAAAGTTCATCCCCAACCCACCGGGAGACAATGCGTCAATCAAGCTTTGAAT